TCTCTCACACACACACACACACACACACTCACTAAGCAATGTCCTCTGAGGCCAAGTGTCAAGGGTACTCAGACAGAGGCACTGCCATCTCAAGGGGAGCACTTTAGTCTCAAAGAAAGTGAGGATTTGCAGGTGACTTACCTCTGTCTTCAGGCCATCTCTCCTCTAGGCAAAATCTTCCTGCAGTCCTGCTTTGTGCATGCGGGAGGATCTCCTGGAGCCCTGCCTCACAGAAAAGAGTGCTTTGCTGACCCTCAGTAAGGCCTGAGGCCCAGAGCCTCTGCTCACTGGAGTAAAGTCATCACACTTAGCCCCATTTAGACTCGAATTCCTGAAGCACTGAAAGAACAAGCCCTGCACCTGCATGGCCCAAGGACAGGGCTCACTGAGGTCTTTGTTAGTCTGCACCTGCCTGATGCCCAGCTCAGGTGGTTCCATTGCAGGTGGTCTTTGGGTTTTATATAAAGACAGTGCTTCATGAACTTTGGGGTGCCAAAAACTCATGATGGGAGCAGAAAATCTTATTAAAATGTGGATTCCAATTTAGTCTATCTGTGTTGTCTCAACTCCACCTGGGGTTTCTAACAACCCCCAGACGGTGTGGATGCTACAGTACTCTGACCAACTGAGTAGCAAGGCTTTAGGAATGGTGGTGGCAGAAGTCCTTGCTATTGATCGTGTAGTCCCCGGTCAGCAGCATCAACAAACAGAGAGGCTGTTACGATGCAGACTCTCAGGCCCCACCCAGCCCAGCTGCACCAGACTCTGCTGTCAGATGATTCTTACACATGTAAACTGACACAGAACTTCAAGGTCAAAGACACAAAGAAGTTCTTTTCTGTCAGAAAGGTCAGGGTAGCAAAAAAAAAAAAAAATCCTTTTGAGCCTAAGATATCAGAAATCCACAATAAGGCCTTATTAGAGGAGATCAAGAGCAAGCAACCCATTCAGAAGTCAGGCTCCTCAATTCCAAGCCCCTCTACTAAAGAGAATCATTTTGTTCTAGAGTTCAATGTTGCTAGCTCCAGAGCTCTGAAGCAGACAGCAAATGTAAGTCCTCACCTCTCTGTTCCCATTACTTTTCATAACCATTAGGTTAATGACTCTGGGGACCTTACTATGCCCAATGGGCCACCAATCCTCAGGGGATGTATGGTTTATACAGTGCTGGTGGATGGGTAAAACCTAGGCCTCTCCATCAGAATACCAGTTGAACCATAACTATAGCGGATGGCTATTGCTCCTTGAGAAGAGTAGGGTTTTGTTTGATATTTAGGGAAATCTGATATTTTTGTTTTGTTTTGTTTTGTTTTTGTGGCACGGGGGTTTGAACTCAGAGCCTCACACTTGTTGGGCAGGAGTTCTTACCACTTGAGCCATTCTGCCAGCTATTTAGGGAAATCTGAAAAAAGGAGATGTCACCACTCCTATAAACACAGAATCTGTGACCCATAACAAGGATGATTGAATTGGTATCAGTTAGTTAAAATACTTACTACAAAATTTAAAGTAGGTGTCAATCATCAGCGGCGCATACCTCTAATCCTAGCTACTTGGGAGGCTGAGATTGGGAGGACTGTGGTTCAAGACCAGCCCAGAGAAATAGTTCATGAGACCACAATTCCAAAATAACCAGAGCAATGGGTACTGAAGGTGTGGCTCAAGCGGTAGAGCGCCTGGTTTGCAAGAGCAAAGCCCTGAGTTCAAACCCCAATCCTACCCAAAAAAAACGTACTTGCTAGAAAGTAGCGGCTTATAGAAAACATGAAGCCATTCAGGTTGCTGGAAACCAGAGGAAATAAGGAAACAAACTTAACTCAAAAAAATAAAAAATAAAAGAATTTTCAAAATGTAACTAGATAAAGTCTAACAATCTAGGGTCATGGTAAGTACCTCAAAGCCACTGGAACCAGCGAGCTCCTAAGTACATACCACTGCCTTCCCTTTCTTTTCCATGAGCTTCTGTCAGAAGGAAACTGCTTGCTACAGATAATTGTTTGCATTTGTTGATCAATAGATCAAGGAACAGCCAAAGGAGAGAGGAACCATCTAGGAAGGGGTAGAGACTGGCATGATGAATACAGATAGGGCCAATGCAAATATTGTGCTCAATTAGCATTTTTGTGGATTTAGAAATTTCTGAAGACAATTTTCAAGTCATAGAAAACACAGGGAACATCTGACTCTGTTTCTGGAACTACTTCTGACACCGTGCCTCCTGCTCTTCCACCTACTCCATCTACCCCAGCTCAACTTCCCTCTGTTCCTCGCGCCAATGTCAATTTCCTCTACACGCCTATTTGTTGCTCTGCCTGTGTTAGGGCTTTAAATTGTAGTCCTCCTACAGTAATCACAGTAGTAATCACAGACCTTGGATGAGATCCTACTGTGCTCCAGGCACTTCACAACTACTTCTTATTTACAAATAAAATAACTAAAGCTTGGAGAGGTGAACAGGGTCACAGAAATGGCAAGTAAAGGGTGCAAGACTCCTTTTTACATCCATCCAAAATCCACACTCTTCCAGTCAAATCGTCCATCCTGTTACTTTTGCTGTGCTGTGCCACGCCAATATTATTTTCTGGCCAGTGGGGGTGGGGGATGTAGCTCTTACTTCTTTGAACCTAGTTAGGATGAGTATCTGAGGCTGTCAGTCTGATGTCATCTCTTCCATTTAGGGTTCACTATCACAGGTACCCTCCAACATTTGATAGCTATGGCCTTGGGACTTTTCAAATAGACTTTCTCTTGAGGGTTTCAAATGGGTTTTGCATCTCAAAATATGAACATTAATGCTTAGGAATTAAAGCTAAGACCTTTGTCAATGCACTCTGATGTTCAGAAGAACCAACAAAAATAAGGGTAAGCCTAAAAGCACATTTATGAAAGACCTTTCTACATTGATCTGTCTTGATAATCAGCTCACTTCCCTGTGTAATCATGGTATTCTTGACCATTTTGCCAAAATACTGACGGATAATAGATCTATTCAAGTATGATTTCTCCTGCTGTCCTGTATAGACACAAACTTTGAATCTGTTAGAGCAGGTTCATTTAGAGAGGATTCCTCCAGCATTCGGAAGAAAGCTGCCTTTGTCATCTCTCTGTGCAATACTAGCTTTTTAAGTTAAAATCAAGATCATTGACTGAAAGCCAGCTGGGGTTGACTTGTATCAAGGATCTGTTGGCAACACTTCCAGATAATTCTTTTTGGGGAAAGAAGTGAGTCTTCCTAGGGACTTCTTAGTAGGAGATTAATCACCATTGTGCTGGAAGCCTGCATGTGTCTCCCTGAAACATCTTTACTGTTGTCGCAAATTACAAAAGGGCCCCTGCCCCAAAAATTGTTGTACTTGACTACAGACCAGAAGGTTGGGCCAAATCTCAAACAAGAAGCATAATAACAATCCCTCCTTCAAAGGAGTTTTGTCTTCTAGTGTGAGAATAAAGCAGGACTTTTCCCCAAGTCTTCAGTTTGAAAATATTGGTCTTTATACTCATCACCGCTCATTCACACACTGAGCCCCCTGGTGATAGTTTAGGGGATTTTTTTTTTTAACAGCTTCCTTGCAAGTTCTTCTGAAAGAAGAGTTTACGAAGTTCATTGATTCTCTTTTGGCAAACTTGCAGCTCCTGGATTTGGGCAGATTAAACACAATAAAGATTTCCTATACCAACTCAGAAGACATCGCCTGAAAATTCAAAAAGGTTTTTTTAAGCTCCAGGAAAAAAAAAAAGAAACAAGAGGGACAGAGTGGGGGAGGGAGGGAAGGAGGAAGAAAGGGAGGGAGGGAGGGAAGAAGGGAGGAAGGAAGGAAGGAAGGGGGGAAGGAAAGAAGGGGGGAGGAAGGGAGAGAGAGGAAGGAAGAGGGGGAGGAAATCATGTAAAATACGTTCCCAAAACCAAAAGAACAAAACAATTCAACTAACATATATTAAGCTTTATTCTATAACAGAGACATAAATAATTTTATGAATTCATATGACCTATACAAAAGACAAAATAAGATATTGCACTAAATTTAGTCATGGGATATTTGGATTTAATGCTAGCTAAACAGATGAATGTATACAAGGTGAGGAGTTAAGGCAAAACCAGATGATACTTCAAACACAACAGAAGGTTTGAAAAATAGGTATAATTAAAAACAGGGCATCCCACCTCCAGCTAATAAAGTAGTCATGTCTAAGGGAAAAATCCCTTTCGTTTTTTAATAAAGTGGTTATTATCAATCATGTTAATTAAAGTTGAGCGATAAAGTATAAAGTTTCCCGTGGAGGAGAGCTCTTTTGTGAGGTGTGGATCTCGAGTACTTAGGATTCAGGTAAATTGTCAGATTTATGATCTATTTTCCTATTAGAAAATATAATTTGGAAAATATGACTCTTTCACATATATAATTAAAATACAACTATGAAGCATTCTTTTTTTCTTTTTCTTTTTCTTTTTTTTTTGAGGGAAGTCATGTTGGTGATCTCATAGTCAAGATAAATTTTCAGGCGAGCCATCCATGGCCCTATTTATAGAGCAAACACAATGCCAGCCACTGAGGAATGACTCCCAGGTACATAAGAGAACAAAACAAACTAATTGCAAAGGAATAAAAGCAGCAAGTGTGGTCAATATGTCAACATGGTGTACAGTTCTTTGGCGGCAACACACTAACCCATTGCCAGTCTTCTGACAATAAATAAACAAAATCTGCATCTGTAATGAATTCAGTAATTCCAGGAAGTTAAATTAGAACAAACCTCGACACAGCTTTTGATGTTACATTTAAGCATAGATATGTATGATCTGCTTTGAGCCCCAATCCAAATATATTGAAATACACACACGCACACACACAAAAAAAAAAATCTGTGAAACTTCGTGTTGGTTCAGACAGGTAAAGAATCCTTAAAGAGAATCCATGTTCACCCATGAGAAACCAATAAAAGATATCAATCCAATGATGAAAAATGATCTTCCAATAATTCAGGGGTGGGCCGCCCCTCACTTCATGGAGAAATCAAATTCTATAGGGGAAACACCAGAAAGCCAGAGAACGTGGAATACTGCCAGCCTCCAACCAAGTTACCTTTCTCCAGTTTTAGGTAAACCTTATCTTCTTTGTCCAGATAGAGTAGGACTCCATTGGTGGCAGCTTCACGAGTAACATCTTTGTCCCCAGCAAATGCAGATATTACTGGTTTTCCATTCAACATCAAGTTAACCTAGAAGGAAAAAAAAATCACTGAAAAGCTCTCTTTAAAGTCAAAACATTTGCCATGGATACAAAGAGATGACTAAGTTCACCAACCTGGATGTTCACATATTTTACCCCTATCTTTCCAAACTAGCCAATTGTGGAGTCAGACTTAGTAAGTTAAGTGTTGATTACTTTGATTTCACTCATAGATGTTTCCTTAAATTCATACAAAAACAAAATGCCATCCAGAGAGAAACCTAGTCATGTAAAAACTGGCTTCCCTTCAGAATGTAAATTAAGCTTACTACTTTGCTGACCTCCAGTCCACAGCAATCCATTGGTAATGAAGACTTGTGGCTTCCCAGTGCCCTGACAAACCCAGACACAGCCAGATTCTGTCAATGTTCTTTCAGATTTTAGGGTAAGATGCATAGCACTGAAGATCATTTGCAATAACAAAGTGTGTATGTGTTGATTTTTTCTGTCTTCCCTGATAAGAAATGTATATTAAAAATAACAATGACCACTACCACTGGAGATCTTAGTGATGAGTAATTAGCAAAGAATCAACTCAAAATTTTATTAACTTTTCTCCATTCTATAAATTTGAATTTACTGTGTCAAATATTACAAGGTTTCTATATATTGGAGCTTGGAAAAAGTTTTTGCATGGAAGTAAATTTGTGTGCTAGATATTTATTCCTCTTAGGTTAAAATTAATATTGAGTAAATTAAGTCTGAGACCTAGCAATTGATCCATTCACTAGGATACATCAAAGAGGCAGGTGGGTGTGTAATCTACCAATCAGACAGACACAATGCATAATATAAATACTGAACATAAGATAAATGGTGTCCTAGAATTTCACAGGCGTATCAGGATTATACACTATTCACATATTTTAATACTTTAGGAAGTATCTCCTTTGTAACGTCTGAGTATAAGATCAAGCCCATTACCTTAGAAAGCACAACCTTAGTTAACCATGTAACTACAACTGGTAAAATTCATTAGCACCAGAGTAACCATGGATGAAGGAAATCTGAAGCAGAGCACATTCTTTTTTAAAAAGTACTGTGAACAGTTAACTCTCCTTCATAGGCTTATTTTTAACAGTAAGCATAATTTTTACAGTGATAGCAAATTTGTTTTACTCATTTCTGATGCACTTGTAAAAGCTCTCCTAGTTTCATAAGCTTTTTTCTTGACATGTTCAAATAATTTTTGTACATGTATTAAATGAAATATCAAAATCTTCTCAAGGGATTTGTGTCACTGACTTTTTGTCACACCACATTGTTTAAATGTTTTGTTGTGATCAAACTGATAGCATCAATTGTTTGTTTTTCTACATTTTTTTGACACATGCTTTAATGGATTTTAGAAAGAAAAAATTGGAGATTAACTACTTTAAAAGTAAAGTATAAAGACAGATTTTTTTGTTGTTGTTTTACAGTGAAAGCACATCTTTGAATAAAGACTTAAATACGTAACCCACTAAAGATAAACACAGTTTGGGGAGTAGAGACAGGATGGGTCAAAACACATACCTGGATTGTTTGGCTCTGGTAGACTTTAATTACATGAAAACTGAAACTGTAAATTCCTTTCCTTGGTGCTACAAAGACAGACTCCAACGTGAAAAAATTACCCACATTAACTAGGATCTACAAATAAAAATAATAAATAACAGTTAATTATAATATTTTCTTTTGTAAGAAAATAAGTTTCCTTTCTCCCCTTCCTTCTTTGCTTTCTTTCATCCTTCCTTCTCTCTTCCCTCTGTCCTTTCCTTCTTCTTCCCTTCCTTCCTCCCTCCCTTTCTTTCATCCTTCTTTCCTTCCTTCATTTCTTCCTTTCTCAACAACTAGCTTTAGAAACCATAGAGAATAAAATATGTATTTCTATTTCTTTCCTCTTACGTGACTTGGAAAATGGACTTGTATACTGGAAGGTTCTTCTGTCTTTTAAATGGTATAGGAAAAAAACAGAGTAAGTTTTGTATTCATGTCTGCAGTCTCCAGCAAAGTCTGATGGCTGTGGAAACGCCTAGGGAATCTTCCAGGCTTTATATATAACATGAGCTTGGGCTTGAGAGTCAAACGAAAGGCATATGCCATGTATCTACATTCCTACTATCCATAGGCCTTGGCAATATCCAGAAGTGATGTTGCCACGCCAGCCAATCCATATCCATGGGCTCTCTGCAGTCATCCCTGGACATATCTCACAGAGGCATGGGTACCCCTCCACCTCGTGACACACTGCATGACACCGAACAGCGGGTGCACAAAGTGATATGAATGTCTAGCCCTTCCCAGAGCCTCGCCAGCACTCTCCTAAGATCCATGTCCACTTTTTCATTTCTGTGGCATCTAAGCCTTAATTATAATATTTTGGCAATGAGTCAGCCCTTGCTGGCTGCCAAAGAGTAGAGCATGAATAAGACAGATAGTGAAATAGGCGGCCTTTTCATGTTCCTCTCAGTGTCATGCATTATCTTCCTATCAATCACCTACTCTTCATTTAAAGTTCAAGGATCAAAAATGAAAAGCAAAATTAAGCACTGTTTCCAAGAAAGCGACAATGCAGTTTGTATTCCAAAATGCTCTCCATGGTTCTTCTATTATTAAATTATCTGTGAATTTCAGTAAGTGACTTCTTAAGCTAAATTTGCAATGTCACATAGGTAAGTCTCTTCCTAAGAGGAAAAAAAAAAAAAGAGAGAATGGGGAAGGCAATAAAATAAGGGTTTCTTTCTTGTCTCTCCAAGAAATAAATTTGTAAGTGGCATTCAAAAAAGTCAGACACAGATATGTTTCCTATATATCAATGGTAGTCTGCTATTATCTTTGTAAACATTGCCTTCTTGTCAAAATTAATACATTTTAAGCCCCTTACATCATTTCCTCAAAGTGCACTATTACCTCTAAGCAACACACCAGAATGGCAGGGCAGTCAGACAGATGTGCCAGCTCAACCCTGCCTCAAAATACATACACATATGTGATTTTTGCTGAGATTCTGCCTTATTCCCAGTAAGCATCAGATTTCTGTTCTCTGACCTGATGATGGATGGCTTTTCAACATCAAGTCACCAGCTGTGCAATAATCCCCATCAGAGCCTGTATGAACAATTTTTTCAAGCACATTCAAGGTGCTTAGCGGGAACTTCCTGATTCAGATATAAGTAGTAAAATTCATTAGCAATAATGGAAACGGCTGATTAGTGTTGACTACACAAGAAGCCGATGTTGACTCTACATAGTAATTGGAGCATCCAGGCACATCAAATGTATAACTGAATGTGTCTTGTTGTCTCTAAGATGCATAGCTCCCGGAACACAGGAATAAACCTTTCTCCTTTCCTAATTGAAGGAAGGTCATTGAAAAGAATGCCCCATACAGAGGACAGGGCAATGCCCACAGTATTCCAACATTTAATGAATGCATTGAAATGCAAACCAGGGGTGGTGCTAGACATTATTTCCATCACAGTGGAAAATAGGGCATCAAAACCCCAAAGGGGCTACTTAACTCATTTAAAAATTACAGCTATCCCATAGCAAGCCCCCTGAGAGGCATCCCCTGTCTTTGGCCAGATGGAGCGAACATTACCAAGGAAAATTAAGTAAGAAGTACAAATGTCACCTCACACCTTCCCTGGCACAGCCTGCAGCCTTAGGACTGTGAACTATGACTTCAGAATTTAAAAGACTGTGGGCGCTGTTGGGATTGGAATTCAAACGCAGGTGCCAGTTTTCTTCCTCAGGATGCTGTGCGACAGCTCAGAGGATGTCCTGGGGTTTCTCATCAAGCCAAACCACAGAGCACCACATCTCTAAACAGAAGCTGCAGCTTTCATCAATTCTGCCCCCACCCCCTACCTGCCTCCTCAAAGTCTGTGGTTCCCTGTGAATTTACAGTTCTCTAAAAGGACTGGAGCCCAGGAAAGAGGACCCATCTCCCCAGCGCTTCCCCACTCGACCTTCGCGCCCAATTCCTTTCTCTCCCTCCTGGACAACTTTTCTCTGAGTGGAAGGGCTGTCTGCCTACTCCAGGGCAGGAGCAGCCGCGCCGGGACCCTGCCTGGGGGCCTTGGCCACTGAACCAGGAGGTGAGATCTGATTCCGCCCTCCTCCCCGCACTCCCCGATTTCTGCAGGGTGTAGGGTCCTGGAGCTTTCTTTGGAAAGAAGCTTTCCCACCTGGAGAATCAAGTCAAACATGTATCCAGCGAGGGCCCCACAGGAAAGCCTTGGCGGCACCTGCAGGGAACCAAGCTCTGACTAAAAGACTGGGGTGTCCAGGGAGCTTATTCCCAGCTCCTGCTGACCTGTTGCTGTGAAACTTGTCCTGATCTCTCGCCGCTCGCCTCTGAGCTCCCAAGCCTCCCCCACCACACAGGCAGCCTCTGTTAGAGACCAGGAGGGGATGGGGGCCGGGGTTGCGGCGAGATGGGAAACAGCAGAAGTTTCAGGCTTAGGCATATATGGGGAGACGGGTTTCTAAACGACCCCCCACATTCCAGTCAGACAAGCTGAGCCTGAGCAGGCAGCTCCGATCTGAGATGCCCGGAGACCGCCCACCCCCTCGGTGCCCTGCATCCCATGGGGTCTGACCTGATCGAAGTATATGATTCTCGTCTTGTTGCTCATCTCGGATGGCTCGTGGTTGGTGCTCCGCACCGCCGAGAAGGCCACCTTGGAGTTGGCCGCCCGGACCGATATCCCCAGAGGGGAAGAAGAGGAGCCCTTGGAGTCTGTGGCCGGGTTCGAGTCGCACACCACCAGACATTTGCCCTCCAGCACGATGGGCTCAGTGTCGTTCTGCGCCCACACAGGCAGCCCCCGCAGCATGAGGACCAGCAGAACGGCCCGCACCACGGACAGCGCCGGGAGCGCGGAGCCCATGGTGAGCTGCGTGGGCAGCCACAGCCGGCTGGCGCTTCTGCTAGCCGGCGTCGCCTCCTACCCCGGGATCCCGGAGCTCAGGAAGATGCCAGTGGCTAGGTCGACAGCGCTGCAGGAACGGCAGCGGCGGTGCGCACACTTCCACCAATTCTGTGGCTTGAAGTCAAAGTCTCCCCCCGAGCTGTCTCACTAGCTCTATTACCTTTGTCCTTTAAGGAGCTCATGCAGAACCCCCTACCCTACCCTCCTCCTCCGCTCGAAATCAGTCCTGCCTGGGGCTTCTGCACCCCACCCTTGTTCCTAGATATCTAAGAGTCCCCAAACCTTCACGATCACACCTCAAAGCAAAAAATAAAAAATAAAAAAATATTAATTCTCACTCCAAACCCAAGCACTCCCAAGGAACAGAAGAGACAGAGGGGACTCAATGAGAAGCCACAAGGGTGGTAGGTGCCAAAAGGTGCGGGAGTCGGTCCTGTACGAGTCTGGCTTGCGCAGGGACGAATTACAGAAGCAGGTGTTCCCTGGACTGGGAAGACCGCGAGGCTGTGTTCATGGCCAAGATGCTAGCGACTCCCACTTTCGCTTGTCAAAATTATTTCCCAAAGCTTGGTGTCACTCCGACGTAGGCAGGCAGCGGCCAGCCCGGTCCTCCATACGCGGGACCGGTTCCAGAGTCCAGGATGGCTGGGCAGGCGGGGTCTTTCCTTTCCTGGTTCCGGCCCGGCACGCAACTTTCTCCTTGCGCAGCCGGAGAGCGCGAAGCTGGCACACGCGCGCTATTTATAGGAGCGCAGAGGCCAGCTGGGGTTGGCTTACTGCTCAACCCGCGGCTCTCAGAAAGGGGGGAGAAGGCGTCCGGTGACCCCCGCCAGGCAGCTCTTGCCTGACGTTTAATGCACCCCGGAACTAGTGGGTGGCACAGCACTGCTGGTTAGCAAGGTCCGAGGCCACTCAGCCCCCGGAAAGCACACATTGCGGAGCTTGTGTGCGCAGAGAGGCGCACGCAGCCCTGCGCTTACCCCTGCTCCGGCGGCTGCTCGCCCCCTTCTCAGTCCCAGCCCTCGGAGGGAGCTGTGGCTCCCCTCGCTCTCTCGAGCGCGGGACTCCGCCCGAGCGCCGAGCGCCCTCCGAATGGAGCGCTGCACTGCCAGTCCCGGTTACTGAGATGGATGGGCCGCCGCGGGTCCGCGCGGCACGATGCCCAGAACCTGAGGACCCGCTGGCGTGCCCACCGCTCCTGGCCGGGAGCCGGTCCCACACAGCCCTCGGCCTTGAGAAGCTCAGGAAAGTCTTGGGGCAATCCAGGGCCTGTGGGGGCGGCTGGAAGGAGGTGCCTGATTCCTTCCTTCCGCTCAGGGAAGATGTGCCTCTGAAGCTGCAGGGGCGCGCCTTTCCACTCACGCAGCAAATCCACCCCAGCAAGGCCAGACAAAGATGAGACAGAGTCAACTCAGCCAGAATAGGTCTTCATGAACCACATTACCCCTTTAAAAAAAAAAAATTCACACCACCTGACAATAAAGCACCTCTCTCCAGGTTTGATGATGGGCCTCCCTCTCCCCTGTGCACCCCATTACCATCTTGACCTGGGATTGACAAAAGTATCTTTCTCTTCTGCAGGCACCGCAGGAAATGGCTTGTCTCTGTGATGAGCTACGTGAACTTGGCCAAGTCAGTTACCCTCTCTGAGAGGGCGCCACCCTATTCCCTTAAGTACCTATGGCTTTTTAGTTCCATGGTGATTTAGGGTCATGGCGGTGCCTCTCAAAATTCCTTTTGACTTCCAGCTGTAGGAGGGCAGGCACGGTAACTTCAATCTAAACATTCCTTTCAACAGCATCAGCCATTGGGAGCGCTTCCAATTATATTGACTACTTTTTCATTGAAAGAATGTTTATTGTGCTGTGCCCTTGGGACAGGCAGCTCCTCATTCTTTGCTGACTGAAAAGCATCCTTCTTAACATGACATTCAAATCCCTCCACAACAGAAGCCAGCTGTGAATCTTCAGCCTTGTCCCCTCATAAGCTCTTCCAAGAGGGGTATCAGTCCATAAGCACCACACTGCAATTCCAATTGCTAAAATAGGAGACACGTCTATAGTTGGTCATTCCTGGCCCCATCACCCTATAAACTTGCAACTAAAGATTTGATACCTTGTACCATATGAGTGTCAGTTCTGAGTGGGAGATGCTAACTCCATGCTATTTGTTATAATATTGAACGTCACTGGTCTAACTTGTAACCAAACAGATGAATTGGTCAGTGCTTTTGGAAGATGGCAGTAATCTACCCAGCTGTGATGCCCCACCCCAAGACCCACATAGCCTTCAACTCCAGTCCTCTCTGCACTTGGTAATCTCGGCTTTCACCACTGTCCTCCTGAATGGCAGCTGTATTTCACTAGATGTTGCGTTTTGAAGGTAGATACCCATGGAATTGGATTCCTCTTTCCTCCTTTAGAAGTAGCACTCAGCCTGCCTTGTCCAAGACAGCTGCTCAGTAACTGTCTTAGGCTGTTCCATTCCAAGCTGAGAGGAGTTTGAGGGGGAAAAAAACTCTGTTGACACAGAACTATTCAATAAGCTGACTTCCCCAACACCCAACATATTCTCTTTGCAACCTTTTCTTCTCCAGGTATTTCCTTTCTACAAGGACTCGGGGGTGGGGGGGGCGTAGGATAACAGTACTGTGGTTTGAACTCAGGGCTTTGTGCTTGCTAGGCAGGTGGTCTGCTTCTTGAGCCATGCCATCAGCCAAAAGAGCTCATGTTTCTCTCCTATTTCTCTCATTGAAAGTATCCATTTGTACTCCCTACATCTAGCAATGACCATATTAGAGACTCAATAATTGAAAGAGATATGACTGAATACTTCAAAATAGAAAGTTACCAGTCAGGCATCTTATAGTATAAACCGGTTTAATTGAGTCCCTCCCAGTAACATTTAAATTCAAAGCCTTCTGGGTAATTTGGGATGAAATCTTTGTTCCTTACTAGAGGACATTCTGCTAAGCAGGGTGACATGAAGATGTAAGACACCACATTTTCTGTGGTCTCCCGGTAAGAGATATTGTGAATCACAGAGTCCTGTCTTTTCCCACCACAGCTGACTGAACAGGGATAGTCTCCAGGCCCTAGAACTGTCAATCCATTTGATATCAGAAGTTCATTACTTGTAGGACCCCACATGGCCAGAAGGGTTGGGACTTCTAGATTTTCTGTCTGGGATCTGAATGAGGCACTGGATGGATTACAGGAAGCACTGGGTGCTGCAGAAGCAGGTCTGTAGTCTCCCAAACTGGTACAGCCACTTAGAAAGTTCCTGGAAGCTCACACCGAGCATGCTGGAAGATTGGGAGCACTGACCACTCTGGAGAACAGAGGCCACTCCTGGAGGCTGAGGACCTCAAGAGATGGGAGAGGGAATAAAAGAATCAGACCTGACTCTCCAGTTCCAATCTCTTAATTACATGAGGTCCAGCAGCCCTTTTTCTAACCTTAGGCTTCCTGAGATCCTCCTATATGCTTCAATAAAATCCACTTCATTGAGCTACTTTTAGTAACCTGTTCTTTGTCATCCAAAATCTTCATTAGAACAGTTTTCCCCAAATCGTACCACAAGAGGTCTTGCATCTCCTGCTAAAAGACACTAACAAATCCCATCTCCTATCTGTGGAAAATGCTTTTGAACATTAGGGAAAGGAGTCATTCCTTGCACTTCAGCCTGTTCTCCAGCTCCAGCATCCCCAAAAGGAAAGAACCAGGATCAGGTTCAACTTTCCCTCCAGCTACAGATAAGTCTGTTTCTTTTTTTCTTTCCAGTAATATGCTATTAGAAAACCTGACTGTGACCCAAATGTTCCCCTTTTCTGAGATCTCCAGATTGTGTTTGATGCCCAATGATTTTTTTTTTGTTAGACCTTTAGAGGTGAGGAAAGAATGCATTTTGCTTCTCTGCAGTTGGGCTCAACTTCAAAGTAAATTAGAATCTGAACTGATCTTACATAGGAAAGGTACTCCTGTGTCAGGAAAATCAACCAGTGCTTGTCCAACCATCCCTAAGAGAAATCAAGTTTCAAGCAAGCCAAGACGGTGAATTATCCATGAACAATTTTCTGCTTCTGAGGAAGCTCTCCCTAAGAAGGCAAAGACAGACACACAGGGCTGAATGAAAGAAGACTCCATGCATCACGTAGCAGAGACAGCCCCAAGTCGGGTGGGCAGAAAGTAGAAAATCAAGAGAGAGCAAGCAGTAAGGCTCACATCATGGCCAAATGAAGGTCCACTGACTCGCTTAATTACCCTTTTCTCTCTTCAGCTATGTCTCTCAACCCAAGCAAATGCTTTTTTTTTTGAGGGCGAGTAAGTAACTCAGAAGAAAAAGTCTTGTGAACCACCAATAAATGGGCAACAAAAAGTTACAGAATTTCTTCCAGACTCCTGGAGAGAGCCAAATGACAGACTCATTTCCTGTGAAGATGTTATTGTAAGGAAAACTAAGTGAATGATTTTAAAATCTTTTAAATTTGCTTTAGAATTTATAAATTCTTTCAAGACAGTTCCTTTACATAGTTTCTTCCCCTCACTGTGTTGACCGATGAGATACATGTCTAGAGTGACATTGAACCATAAAGTGTCTTAATTATGATTGCACAAGACTTTGACTCCCCTTTTGGTCTGCCCATAATATCCTTTGCTTGCCTCAGTCATTATTTTCATCACAATTTTTAAGTTAATGATTTCTTTGTTGTGTTTTCTATGGATGATTAACTCCTGGGGAGCACAGGATTTAGCAGAGAGTAAGGATAAATAAATAAATGGTTACTGAAAAAGAAACTAATGATCATATTTCTTATAGCAAAAACAAAAATCACATTAAACTCTCTCTAAGTATGAGAGGAAAAGCAAAATCTTTCAGATATCTGGAGGAGTTAAAATGTTTAGTCTACCCTTAGTTATGAAGAATGGAAGCATAAAGGGGATACATAGGAAGGACCC